TGTGTATTTGTTGTTTTTATTTTGTAGAATGTATATCAATACCGTCTCTTGTTGTCTATATCAAATCATGTGCGCGCCGCGCAATACACATTCGCAATAAAGTGTGCTCGCACAAGCACATTCAAGCACACACATACACTCTCACACACACACGACAAGACAGACGGAGAGACAGAGAGAGAAAATGTGTGTACGCGCGTACACACTTGCCCGAAAACGTCTATCACCATCTCCGTGAGGCAAACTCACAAAATACAAAATAAGAGTCGATCTCGCGCGCGCATTCGCTCGACTTTGCATTTCGGATGATGTCCGCATATGCGAAAAAAAAATGTAAGGCAATTACGTTTATTAGAACTCTTTTCGTACATATGTGTGTACATACACCAAACGAGCGAACGAATTACAGCCACAAATACACTATTGTAAATATGTGAGTCGAGGGACATCACACCGACTCACAGCAATATTTCTTTTCTTTTTTTCTCTCTCGCATGTATCTTTCTCCTTCGTTCTTCCTCGGCTCATCCATAGACGCTTCAATTTTCTTTTTTACAATACAAAATGCAATCATCATCATTAAAAGAGAGCAAAAAAGTCAGGCGAATAACATGACGATTGATTTCATACATTGCATTCTGTTTCTCGTTTCCAAGATTGATTCTTGACCATTTTCATGTTGCATTCATTTGCACAAAAACGCTTTTCGACGAGATTGCGCCATTTCTCTTTCTGTTGCCATCAAAAATTCATTCAGACAAATTTTTCGATCAGCTCTTTCTTTCCGCATTCATCAAAAACTATGCGAATTGTGGATGCACACAAACAAAACCACGCACACCATATTCATTGTATTATTGAGACTATTGGACATTCAAATTGTTTGAAATATGTGAACGGGGCAAGCGTGCGCTCGCACTCGCAAAACGCACGCCAAACATGCCTAAGTGCTGAATGAATAGTGATTTATGCACCATGCGACCTGAGAAATGAAACTGGCAAATATCTCAAAGGCAAACGGACAACAACAACAGAAGAAGAACACAAAAAAAAATTATGTTCTAATATATTAAACAAAGCCAACGGCAACACTTAAATAAGCGCGAGCGAATACACTCACTTTGGTCTTGCCCATTTCTCGGGAATGGAATATGAGTATGAAATGCCTATTTTTTTTCGCTATTTACGCGTGTTCTATTTTACAATTATGGCCACAATTCATTTTGCATTTTCCTCAATTCAAACTCATTATCCTAAAGTGATTCAATTTTTTTCCCTTTGATTTTACAAACGAAATATGCATTCACTATGTTTAACTGTTTCCAATGTACATTTACATAAATTATTTACCAAATAAAAGAGGAAAAAAAAAACTCGAAAAAATTGGCTCGCGACATTCAAACTAAGACAGAACACATTGCCATCCCAAAACACAGTACTAGCGCCATACTCAAGTTCAATGGCTCAAACTTTTTTCGTTTCTTCGACTCAAAAGCGATCTTTGCCGAACACAATTTTAATGACTTTTAACATGCTTTCGCAAAATTGGATTTTTGCGCCCGTAGATATGGCATTCGTTCTAGAATCATTCAAAGCATATTTTCAATGTGTAACATTTCTTCTTTCAACCATTGTATTTAGGTCTAAACAAGAGAGAAAAGAAATTTTATATTAAAATGCTTCATTGAAGCCGTTGAAGTTTTGTAGCCTCCCACTCAAACCTAAGAAAATGCATCCAAAAATGACAATTTAAACAAAGGCATTTTTTTCACTAAAATTTAATCGAACTACGTACAATCCTCAGAAAACAAATTCTTATGAATATACAAAATAAAAAAACAGAATGCAGAAAACCAATAGAGAAAATGGAATGTCTATAAAAAGCCAACTTTAATCGATCATATTTCGTATCAAAGACTTGAACATGAAATCGATGCAACATTGCGGAAAAGAAAGCATCGTTAGATCGCCCACGATGTCAAAGCCCAAACGATGAGCAACTATGATCGTGTTAGTTTCAGTTAGAAAAAGAACAAATCTCATCCATTCGCATACACCATTTTTTTTGTTCTTGCTGTGAAACGGAAAGGAATCCAGCAAATAAAACTCGTGTATATTTAACCGTCCCACATGATCATTTCAAAATGTATGCTAACAATTTTATATTTGTAAACGAGCCGGATTCATGTTGGAACTTTGACAATGTTATTGGCAAGATGATTGAAATTCTTCAAACAATTAATCCAGTGTTATAGTCTAACTACCACATTAGCCCATTATTATTCTAAATTTGAAATCGATTTCATTTCGATAGTGGCACATTAATAGTTAATTACAGTTCAATTTCGGTAGCTGCTGAATTTTTATCTTAGGCCACATCCCATTGGCAATAGAGTTGAACAATCACGATTTTTCATTCCATTGTCTCTCAATCGATCTCTTTCTATGCGGTACAATGCATTTTAATTCCAATATAGTATTCAATGAATTTTTGTTGGAAATATGCCGGGCAAATGCAATAAAGAAATTGTACAAAAAGCAAGAGAAAAATAAAATCACAATCTTACATCGTTCGGGATTGCGTGTTTTTTTTCTTTCGTCATATTCTTCTTCTTCTTCCTCTTTTTCTAATGGGTATTTGTAGTCGTTTCTCCTTTCGTTTTCTGTTGGGTGCGCGCATAAGTAGGAGAGCTGCCACATAAATGCGATATGTGCATGTTCGCCGTGAATATTATATGCATATTCGGCTATGATGGGCTTTGCTCCAAGTACTCGTACATTAACTTCATTTGCGCACATATTCATATCGGCATAAATGGGATCTATATACATGTATTTCCTCGTGTCTTCTTTCCCTTCTTATTCTCTCTACTAATTTTCTCCTGTATATTTCGTCTCTCTATCGCTTTGTCTCCACATCTATCCGTCTAGAAAAAAAAGTTGAATCAGGGTTTTGCCCGTTAAGTTCATAAATCATGTAAATTACTTTTCTTACAAAAAAAGAAGAAGTCAAATCCACAAATTTAGAGCGAAAACTAAATTGCAAAAAAAATTAAAAATTAAACGAATCTAGAAATTCAATGGGTTAATCGATATGAATACGAAACAAAAAAAAAATAAGCCCTGAGTGCGTAAATTGAACTTAGAGACGTATACAAAACAGCAAGAAAAGCAAAGGCATAACTATATTAAAAAAAAGTTTCAAACAATGTTTCTATTTTTTTTCTCTCCTTTCGTCTCCTCAAACATGAACAATCTGCGTCCAATACAAATGTGAACATTTCACCATCGTCTTCTTCGATTTTTATCGCAAAGAAAATGAATGAAGAGAAAAAGAAGAAAAAGAATTTTTGCGCAAACAGCGCGCAATTCGACAACAACAACGACGACCGCGACGACGAATACGCGAAAAAAAGCGTTATAGATTGTGTATGTGCATATGTGCAATGTGCTCAATGCTATGCATACATTTATTATATTGATTTTTGGATCTACAAAGTCAAGATAAAAGACCATACGATATTTATGAAAAATACGCGCGAAAGAGAAAAGTACATGAGTTCGTTCGCACTACATGCATTCGTTGTCTTTGTCGATCGCGTTGTTCTTTGGTGTTTTGTCGGTTGCGCAGAATAACAACACACTCTTTGCCGCACAAATTCTGTGCATAGACGCCAAACAACGAACTCCTGGTGCATTATTTCGTTTCTTCTTCATCGTTTTTTTTTTGTTGTCTTCACCATTACTTTTTTTTTATAAATATGTGCACGAAGACATTCACATTCGTTATCTTCTCGTGTGTGCTTTTTTTTTTGCTCCCAATGCGAGAAAGACCGAAACTCAAAGGCGGCCGTGCTACAAACTGGGCTCTCTGTGTACATGTTGGCTTAAGTACAAAAACGATTAATCGTAATTTGTGCGTTGTTTTTTTTTTCTGTGTGTGCATATATTCATTTTCTATTTTCTCTGTGCAAATTGAACTGAATTTAATGTGCACTCTCTAATTTCAGCGATTTTTTTTCTCTCAATCGGTTGGTGCCTCATTTTCATTTGTTATTCGTTGTTCTTCTTTGGCTTTATGCCTTTTTGACTTTCTTGGTCGACTCGTGGAGCGAGAGATTTTTTCTTTCCTCGGCCTTTTCTCATAATGTGCACACAACTATTGCTAGCTGTATAAACGAAGCTAGCGCAAAGAAGCTGAAATATGAAAACTGCCAAGTAATCACAATAATTTAGATAAAAAAGAAAACCAATGGAAATGCTCACATTCTCATCGCACACACTACGTGTGTAAGTGTAATGTATATATTACACATTTGTAAGATAACTATAATCTTCAACCGATGCACACACAAACGGAGCGTCTTTTCTGCTTCTTCATTTGTGTTTTTTTTTTTGTTTATTGCATTTTGCGACCGCATTGCCGCGAACAATGCAACCACATTGATCGTGTGACTCATCATCACTCATTTGACCATATATAATAATAATTTTTTGTTTGCAAATTTCATGCTCTCAAACACGCACGATAATCATGTCAACAACAAACTGCAATTCTGAACAAAACCACACCAACATTATTAATTGATTTCAATATTTTATTCCTTATTTCGTGTTTTTTTGATTGATTCGTTTTTATTTAATTGCATAAAATTCTTTTCTATAATTGGTTTTGAGTTGAAAGTGTTTGCAAGAGGGTTTATTTACACTTTTTGTGAATTTGATATATAATATAAAAAGGTAATAAATATCTTTGCTATTTTTAACAAATAACATGGACATTGATCGTAAACGATCGACCAATCGTTGGAAATTGATTTCAACACACACAATTAGATCATTTCGATCATCGAAATAACGAAAATCAAACATTCTTTTTCCTCTACGAATTTAAATTTATAGCTTGGCATGTGATCATATTCTAATCGACATTTTTCCATTTCTTTTCTCGTCGTTCTTTTTTTTTCTTCATTTTCTTGATCATTTTGTGCAAACAATAGATTTTCATGCATAAGAGTGCAATGCAAATGCAACATGCTCGAGATCTACAGCGTGGAGTTGGTGCCGGTACAAACAGTGGAAATAATTCCAATGCTGGCGGTTTAGCCGCAGCCATCAATCCAAATAATATCAGTGGATTGCCGGCCATTATGGGCGCCAGCGGTGAAATTAAACCACATCAATGTCAACAATGTCTGAAGAGCTTCTCGTCCAATCACCAGTTGGTGCAACACATTCGCGTTCACACCGGCGAAAAACCATACAAATGTTCCTATTGTGATAGACGATTCAAGCAATTGTCGCACGTACAACAACACACACGACTACATACAGGTAAGTGAATTTTCTTTCTTAACTTTTTCGGCAATTCAATCAGAATTTCTTCAGACTCAGACACTGAAGAAAAAAAAAACAACAGAAAATCACACGAAATACGCATTAACACCATATTGTAATCAATAATAAAAACATACCTTTTGAAACGTACCCCCTTTTCATAAGCACAACGAATAACAAAAAGAGAAACATTAAAAATGCAAAAATTGAGAAAAAAATAAATAAATATAATACACGCTTCATTGAATTATATAATCTAAAGTGAAACGAAAATCAATGAAGATTAAGTGCGAAAAAAAAATAATCTTGAAAAAAAGAGCAAACGAAAAAAAAAACGATTGTTCCAATTCAAGAGGAACAAAGTGGCAACGAAAGAAAAAAAAAATCATCAGAAATTGGGTTTCTAATCGGTAATTGCCGTTGCAGACAAAGCGCCATTCTCGTAAACACGTCAACTAGTGCCAATTGTAGTGCAAACAAACAAATTCGCTGTGAAAAAGAAAAGCAAAGAAAAACTTTGCGTATCGTTGTCGTCGTCGTCGTTGTCTTCGTCATTTTGAATTTCGAACAGGAATACGGTTTCCACTCTCTCTTTCACTCGCACAGATTATCATTATGTTCGTTTGGTTGAACTGACTTTCGGTTCGTTATCATGTTATACGTTAGTAATAAAGTGATATAAATAAATCTGATGTGTGTTACGGGTGTTTGTTGTTTGTCGAATGATAATGACGACGGTGTAGTGTGCGTTCATAAGATCGGTTATAAACAAATATCTAGGTCAATACTGTTTAGGATATTGTTCTACTTACTCAAAAGAAAAAAAAATAATCACTTGCATCAGCCAAAACTACATCAAAATGTTCGAAAATGTTCAACGTACAATCAGCGTTCACGAAATGTATATGTCTGTAATTAAGGATTTTCGAGACTTTCCCACAGACTTTCGTTATTTTATTTTCACCGTTTTCTCTCTTCTTTGTTTTTTTTTTTGAATTAACAAACGATTTATCCCATAAAACAGAGAGTGTATAAACCCACATGCTGTCAGCTTGTGGCAAAATAAACTCTGATTTGATATGCGAATTGCTGTTAAAAGAGCTACACAAACAAAATCGATAAACTTGAAAAATTGAGCTACGATGTGTAGCGAATGCTAAAATATGCATTTTTGTCAGTCAATTAATATGAATGTTTCTGTTGATATTCATCAGTCAGTTTGTCTTTTTTTAAATAGTCTACTATCAAACAGTAATACGATACACCGATTTCGGTCATAGGTCTGCTTTTAAAAGGAAAAATCGCAAAACGACAAAAAAAAAGATTCATCGTTGTCTTAACAACTTTCTGTTAGACGAATACAAACCTAACATCATATTTGCATTTTTTATTAGACAACATTTAAAAGAAAGAAGAAAAAAAACAGCGAGAGAGAAAAATGGGAAATTGTCTGCTTTTAACGCCTTTTTTCATCGTTGAGTAATAATAATTTAATAAATATATGTGTCCCTTTTTACCATTTCCGACATTCTTTTTTTCTATATCTTTCACAAATTGTGACTAATCGTTCCGTTATTATTTGATGGCATTGCAATGATGTAGAAAAATCACCTTATTTTTTTTTATCGGCAACAGCATCAATGCCGGTACCATGTGTACTTAACCGAACCAGTTTAAGAGCCGACAAAAAAAGCACACATCGAAAAAAAGGGGGAATTCATTGCAATTCTTAAGTGCCATCCAGTGATGACAGTTTTTTTTTCATACCCTTTAATTTTCAGTTTTTTTTTT